GGAGGATGTGTTGAAGTGTGGTTCTTGTGTGTATATGGTGCAGTGCGGTGCTGTGCCTCGAGAGAGAGAATGGCGTGGTCGGATTTCGCGTGCACCTCGCCGTGACGTGGAAAGGTAAGGATCGCTAGTTTCCTTCATTTTCTTTTATCCAGCCGTGCTTTTGCTTCTTTACCCTATTCCCCTTTGTTCTCCGACTTCATTTTCATCGGGGAGCATGTCTTGCAAGGGATGCCCAGCCGCATTTCGCGTCTCCCGGCGACGGTTGCACCCTTCCGAGATCGAGTTTCTTACTCGATTGGCTGGTGTCTGCCGACGCCGGTAATTGGCTTCGATTCGAGCGATGATCCGTCCGCCGCCGGTGGCCGCGTGCGCCTCCGCTGCCGAGTCTGGCTCTAGCTCGTCCCCGACCACTGCGTGTCCGTCCCGGTTCCGCCGCGTCCGGCCACGGGAAACAATGCGCCACGGGCCCGGCCACATTTTTCCCCGTGGCCGCGTGAACGCGTGATTCATACGTCGCTGTTTTCATTTTTGTTAATATCTCTCGCTTTCGCGGCGTCAGGCGAATTCGGCCGATACCGATTTTTCTATGGAGGTTAACACGTTGAACGCTATGGGGGTCACCGGTGACCATCGACCAAATCGAATTATTACAGTTCACTCGATTAAACGAGGATTATTTGAAAAGGTTTCTGTATTATAAACAATGATACATGAGGCGGTGAGATTCAGCTAGATGAACATGTAATAATAACGCAATTCAATCAAATGATTTAACATATTTCTTCCATTTCGAGTATTTTGTACTCTGAAGTCGTGCGGCATTCAGCGTGTTAATGTCATCGGCGACATATTGGACGAACTGAATGTTGAACCTTTCAGCTTGCGAGAAGATTGAGAGTAATTGGGAAGGTTTTTGATTTTTTGTTTGTTCGGTTGGGAATGTTGATTAGATTGTACAAGGAACTTTGACGAGTGCTGCTTTGACAGTCGATGTGTTAATCTTTTTCATCTAGGGCTTTGTCTAATGACTGTGGTAGTTGGACGTGTAAGCTTCAATGTGGCAGTTTGATTGAAGTTTTTGTTCGCTTGTCTTTTTTGTGAAACGTTATAGTACGCATGAGAATGTTTGTAACAGTATTATACAGGATCTGGTAATTAGTTTTAAATTGAACTTTGTAGTACGATATACAAAAGGAACGTGCCTTCATGAAGATATTAATAAATTAATACCATGAATGTTGATACAACTATATCGAAAATGTAATTAACGTTCATTGTACGTTTTCACTGTAGTTTTCGTGTTCGAAAATTGCATTCCGCGTGCGCAAAAATGTCAAACACAGGAGGAACGGAGTATTTATATACTTAAGCCACGAACAAATGGACGAAAGCTCGACGCACAACGTTTTCATCACAAATTTTCCACTCCGGCACAAATTGTGTTTACTTTCTACTTGAAGCGATTAAAGTGCAGATACAAACATGTTTCAGTAACCCACGTGTGGTGTAACCCAATCCCCTGAATCATTGCGCGCCGTGCCCCGAGATATTAAAGTTATCACTTACAGAAGCTCAAGCACGTACAAATCACTTTACGTTGCAATCGGAGAAACTCGAAGATCTAATTCACTTTACATTCAACATAAATCCAACGTACCCAATACCTTCAAAATATCTCTCAAACGAGTAAGTCAACATCCCACGTAAAACCAAACGAAACAACTTTCCACTTTCGAATGTTGAAACATTACGCGCGCACCTTCCGTTACAAGTGGAAAGAGCAGACAACGATCCGAAACGCGACTCAGCGACCGCTGGATGCATAATGCAGGCTCATTGACGACCGTCGAAATTAAATTATTCAGCAAATAGCTTCTTTTCGCCCGAAGAGTCGTCGACATGTCGAGCAACGTTCCCGTGGCTATGAACGTGACTCGGCAATCGGAGCGTTAATTTGCCGCGTGAAACGTGCGTGGCGATCCCCGTCGCCGGCGTGTACGTCCGAAAAATCGCAGGGACGCGACAAAAGTTGATGACCGGACATGGATCCCCGGATCACGCGCCGGGGCAAGTTGAACGCGCCGCGGATAGAGGAGATCGCATCCGGTATTCGGCAAACTGTCCGCGTATCCCAGATTGAACAGAGGATTGCGGTGACGTGACTGGCACCGTTGCTGCCAGTTTTCCGACCGTCGACTTTCAAATGTTTTCCGCCCGCGCCGCGCCTCGCCGCAGCTTCTGTTAATTCTATTAGAGGCATCAGCCGCGATGACACTCGGACATGTTCGCGCGCGAGTTCCTAGGCCTGGGCCAAACCCTAACTGCGTTATCGCCGCGCGTTGACTGCTCCTTTGTGACGTTGATAAGCACGTGTCAAGCATATATGTTGTACCACCTAAATGAGAATCTTGTTAGCTGTCACGAATATTTGGAAGCACGTTGCTTTTCGTCGGCACTCGAAATGGCTAATTCACTGCCGAAATCTCTTGTCGCCGGATTAATCCGAGTTCACGTTCCCCTTGCATAATATTGAAAATTGAAAGAGATTTTTCTTCGCTTCGTGAAATGGAGAATTCAATTCTGGAATTAATATTTAGTAGATAATTGCTATTGATTTTTGATACCTTGCAGATTAGAGTGGTCTAAATGAATGTACAATTTGAAATCGAAATACTGAGTGGTAGTGGATTGTTTGTAGTTGAAGTGGGATTATTTCGTTAGATTGACTCTACGTTCTTCATTGACCTAGATTATTGCGAAATATTTCATCTGTATTCAATTACGAATCCTTCGTTTAAAAATATAATCGTCAACCAAATTTCGTGAAATACATTCTAAATCAGCCCCGTTTCTCTTCGGCGGAACATTGAATTTCACTGTAGCAAGCCCAGGTCAAAAGCTCGAATCTTTCACGACATTAAAAGATCGATACGGTCGAGCATGTAAGCCATCCCGATAAATTATCGAGGAAGCGGCGGCGTGTCACACCGGATGATGAAAGATCTCCTAGAATCGTCTTGAAATTAGCTCATAGATCACTCCTCCATCATCTGCCACTCGGCCGGGCTCCCCTTGAATGGCGGCCTCATCCGGCGACCCGGCCCTCAATGAAATCCCACTTTCGCCGACCTAGGTATTTCCGAAAGATTCCGAAAACGCGGCGATCCACGATAAACAAACACGCTCGTGAACCAGTTACGGAAACGCGGAACGAAACGGAACGCTTCCCGAAAGGAGCGTCTTCTTTGAAGGGCCAACAATCAAATCCTCTTAGGATAGTCTCTTAATGCTCCTTAAAATGGAAAACAGAGGGTTCTCCTTATATAATCCCGGCGAATTTAATCTGCACGATCCTCCCTTTCTGCACTGGCAAAAAGAACGGTATATTCTATATCCCTTCACTTCCTTTTCTTTCTACTTGTACGTATACTAAAACCACGCGCAAGAATCTTCCACGAAGTTTCTTTAGAAGCATTGATCCTGAAGAACGCAATTCAAAATCCGACAAATCTCGTGGTAGAAATAATTTTGTTCGATTCGTAAGCTCGCAATCAAGTACCCATTTCGAAACTTACATAATTTTGTTTCGTTTCGAGAATATAACGAAACTCCTCTGGATTGCCATTGTTGTAGTTTTACTTTGATTTTGGGTATAAAACATTCACATAAAAATATTCTAATGACAAAATTATACTAATTGATTACGAAATTACGTAATTAAACTCACGTAATTTTGTCTCGTTCGGAAAATTTAACAAAACTCCTTTGGATTGTCATTTTTGTAATTTTATGTCGATTTTGGTTTTGGGTATAGAAGATTCACACGGAAATATTCTAATAGAAAAATCATACTAGCATTTGGATAAGCGTAGACATTTTGGTTGCCAACACAAGGACCAAGCATCTTCCACCAAAATCGTTCGGAAAAATCGAGAATAATTTGCAGGTTAGTCGTTGCCCGAACAAACGATTCGATTTCAAGTGAGACGCCCGCGGTTAAACAAAACTTCCGAGCGACGTTCCGCAAACACGGTTCCTCCTCCGTCTTCCGCTACTTTCGCCCGGCTACAGTTGTAAAGTTGAAATTAATTTTTAAACCCGTCCCGCCGAGTCCGACACATCCCCGGCTCCAGCGGGCCAACGGGAAAATAAATAAGAAGGAGGAAGCGAGAAGAAAAAAGGGGTAGGAGGTCGGCTTTGGAAATTAATCGAGGGTCTGCCGCGGAGATTATTGAACATTGTAAAAGTTTACTTTCGTTATCGAACTTCCGCCGACGATCTTAAGCTGCCGGCGTCCGCCGCGCTTTGACCATTTTATTTCCATTTCAAAGGCTCATCTTCCTAACGAGTTTCTTTCGACGTTTCCACCGATTCCTCTCTCTCTCTTCTCCCTTCCCCCCACCCCCGCGAGTCTCTTTGATGTGTTTATTTTATAAATTACCGGCTCGCATTCCCGCGGGGAGATCGGATTGAAAATCGCGGCCCGAAACGCCTATCGTTCGAAAGTTATCAATTGATTCGCGGTGACGTTTCCGTTATTTTTAGCCGGAAATACGAACGGCACCCGGCGATAATGCATTCCGCGGGATTGGACGGATAATGCGATCCGTTCGCGCAGACGCGACGCGCACTCCGAATTTATAATTTTCGAGTGTACACTGCCGGACAAAAGTTTCGGACCATTGTGTCCGTTAACGTCTTCAGAGCCGAATTCTTTTTGAGAACGAACATACGTGATTCTAGTTTTTCTTTGATTAAAGTTTACTTTGTCGCAACTTAGACGAGTTGAACAATCAAAGGGGCAGTTATCAGAGACATACGAAGAAGTGTCTGTTCGATGGACGTTAGTGTTAAATTAAAATCAGTCGTTTTTGGAAACTTTGCTTGAGAGTTCTTGTGTTTGATAATAGACCACAGAAGAGTCTATACGTACTAGTTAAATATACACATTAACCAGTTAACTGTGGAATTTAGTTGGAAAAACCTCTCGTTCCGCGCGCAATAAAACCTAAAAATGGCGCGTGTACTCGTCGAACGCGGGACGAATGCACGTAGAGTATATTTTAATGAAAGATCAAAGCGAAACAAAGAATTACATGTTTATGTGAAAAAAT